GAGATCCACCTGGCTCTGCCTCCCGAGTGCTGGGATTAAAGGCGTGCGCCGCCGCCGCCGCCGCCGCCGCCGCCGCCGCCGCCGCCGCCGCCACCGCCACCGCCACCGCCACCGCCACCGCCACCGCCACCGCCACCGCCACCCAGCAAGTTATACTTTTTTTTTTAATTTATTTATTTATTATGTACACAGAAGAGGGCGCCAGATCTCATTACAGATGGTCGTGAGCCACCATGTGGGTGCTGGGAATTGAACTCAGAACCTCTGGAAGAGTAGTCAGTGCTCTTAACCTCTGAGCCATCTCTCCAGCCCCAAAGATTTATTTATTTATTTCATGTGCATTGGTGTTTTGCTTGCATGTATGTATGTGTAAGGTTGTGGGATTCTTGGAACTGGAGTTACAGACAGCTGTGAGCTGCCATGTGGGTACTGGGAATTGAACCCGGGTCCCCTGGAAGAACAGCTGGTGATCTTAACCACTGAGCCATCTCTCTAGTCCCTGTTATACTTTTAAGAATATCAAGTATGTGTCCTAGACCATTACATCAACGAAAATACAGACTGTTTCTCTTTTGCTCATTTCTTATGAGCAAGGTGGCTCTGTGTGGGAAACAGGGGCACTAAGTGGAGATCAGTGGTTCTCAACCTATCGGTCTGCATCCCTTTGGAGATTGAATGACCCATTCACAGGGTTCACATATCAGATATCTTTATATCAGATATTATATTACAATTAAAAACAGTAGCAAAATTACAGTTATGAAGTAGCAACAAATTTAATTTTGTGGTTGGGGGTCACCACAACATGAGGAACTCTATGAAAGGGTCACAGTTGCAGGAAGGTTGAGAATCACTGGTCAAGAAACTAAGATGCACATGAATCACACAAAATATAGCAAAGAAGACTAGGGAACATAAACTCAAACTGAAGTGCTCCCAGTCTAGGGGTAGAATTCAAGGCGACTGTGAGTAATGTGACTGTTGGAGCTATTTCTATTAACACTCATTAGGTCTGAAAACAAAAAGACAGTAAGAGGCTACATTGGCAGCAATCTACTGTTGCCTACAGAAGTGTGACAAATGATGGTTTGTTCCTATGGTTTATTTTTTTTTTTTGACACTTATATTCAGTGTTAATCTTTGTTTTTTGTTTTTGTTTTTGTTTTGTTTTGGTTTGTTTTGGTTTGGTTTTTCGAGACAGGGTTTCTCTGCGTAGCTTTGCGCCTTTCCTGGGACTCACTTGGTAGTCCAGGCTGGCCTCGAACTCACAGAGATCCGCCTGGCTCTGCCTCCCGAGTGCTGGGATTAAAGGCGTGGGCCACCAACGCCCGGCCCAGTGTTAATCTTTGTAATGGCAAGTGGAAGCATTCTATTTACACAGAGGAGTATTTTTGCCACAAAGGCAAGAATCTACCCTACCTCATTATGAAGGATGCATTTATTTACTAGGAATAGGTATACCCTCCAAGTTCTTTTGACCTATAAGTGTTTTAATCAAACGTATATCCTCATACCACAAACCCAAATGAGAAAGAACAAGAACAATATTAGGGAAGCCTGAATTCCTGAACATTCTGTGATTCATTAGAGTGACAATTAGCACTGGGACCTGGAGACTGAAAACCAAGTCTTGAAATTCAGGTCTTTGTTTCAGTGGCTGGCTTTCTGGTGGTTTGCAGTCCTGCCTGCAATTTAGAGTGACTTGGGGAGCTTTTAAAAGTTAGCACTGCCTGAGCCTCATCCCAGACCAATAAAGTCTGAATCTCTCAAGTAGTACTTTGAAGATTAGTATCCAAAAATCTAGGCTGGGGACCAGGGTCTGTGTATTAACAAGAACTCTAGGTAAATCTCATCGTCAGTCAGCATGAAAAGCACCATACTAATCCAGCCTAGTAATTAGCTTCAGTTTAGCAAATGATATGGCTGCTCTTTCACCTTTTGTGTTTTGTTCCTTTCTATTTAATCCCTTTTTCGTTCTTTCACCTTTCAAAGGCCATTTCCTGCACAGGAAAAAGACATTTAAAATTATGTAAACACATGGTTTTTTTAATTTTAAATCTAGTTTTCCTGCAGCAAACTAATTTGTTATACATATGTTCATATTATTTCAAAATAATTTGCCATCTACTATTTTGTAGGTAATTGAACCATTCTCTCTCATTTACTTTCAGGAAAATTAATCTGTGAAGAATTTTAACAGTCTAATTCTCTGAGCCCTGGCCTGTTGTCAACGTAGCTGAGACCTCCTCCACCTGAGAACCCGCACATCTGACAACACTTCCCCTGCAGCCTACAGGGAGGGATGTCAACAAAGCTGTAAACAATTCATGCCTGTATTCTTATATCCTTCAAGCTTGGCATCTGGGCAGGAACATTACAATCTCCAGCCTTAGGGAAAATTGACAAAGCCAGGCAAAAGGGCTGGAAACTCAGATATGCTGAGATATACAAAAGTCTTTAGCAACTCGCCTCACAGAAGAACCCAATTAAATCTACACCATTAGTCTGCAGATCTAGCTGAATTGTGGATAAAAAGGAGCCTTTTCTCCTTCTACTAAAACAAAACAAAAAACCCTCAGAAGTCTAATATAATACCGTAAGAGATTCTTGTCGCCATACCAGTATTATAAAGCAGTTTTACCATATTTATTTATTTTCACCAGTGTAAGATTAAGAGTGCAAAAACTGACTATTTATTTACTTACTGTCTAAACTGACTAAGAAGTTCTGATAAACCTCTTTGGGAGGGGTCTGCTTGCTAGAGGCAGGGAAGCGCTACAATTGGCAATTTAGAAGACCACTCATTGCCTTCTTGCTTATACACCACTGATTTTGGTCTGTATCACATTGTTAAAACACCACCAATACATTCACAGACAGGCTAAGTGACTGTGGAATGCCTCAAGGGCAATAGAAATCAAATAGAAGCGAATATCAACTCAAGTCTTGAGTGATGACGGAGGTGCATTTTAGGTATCATGGAAACCTCACTGGGCGGGCTCATTTTCCCACTCTGGCAACAGAGGTTGACACCACTTCAGACAAGTATTCCAACCTGTACATGTATGTAGGATTATTTCTGAGCCTCCTGGCCATTCTTCTCATCCTGCTCTTCACAATGCTTCTTCGGCTCAAACATGTCATCTCACCCATCACCGAGAGCACAGAAAGTGTTCCTCAGTTCACAGATGTAGAAATGCAAAGCCGAATTCCCACTCCTTAAAGTCAGAATGATGGTGAGTCTCGGCCAATATGAGCAAACCCTGGGGGTGCTGATCTCAGGAAGGCTTTTTTTTTTTTTTTCATGTGAGGCTTCGCATGTAACAAGCTGCTCGTGTTTTCTGTTCTTCATTCTTCATCTTGACTGTGCTTATGGGACATCTAAGAGGCTTAAGAGTCATTCTTTTTAAAGGAATACGGGAAATTGCAGCTGGTTGGGCTGGCAGGTTTCCATAGTAACCAAAGAGAGCCTGAGCCTTGAACAAACCTCAGACCACAGAAAATCATAGGCAGCAGTTGTTAAAACACAAGATCTCTGGAAGCTGCAAGAGCAAATAAGAATTTACCTTAGGATGTTCTGAGAACTCCCAAGAAATGACAGGCTTTAATTTATTACTTTAGCCCTAAAGAATTATCTCATACATAACACAGATATTTCCTGACATGGAGCTTAATCATGCCACAGATGAATAGAAGGGATTATTAATCTTTCCTCAAAAGAACAATGCTTTAATCATCATAGGCCATCAGGTTTCTCCCAAATGAAAGAGATTTAAAGAACCTTTTATTATTTAAAGAGAAATTTTGCAGAAAGTTTCTGGTGAGTGAGAAAAATGTGCATATTATATCTGTGTTATTACTATTACTGGACCTTTAAAAATGCAGATAATGGCAGATGTATTACTACAATCTGGGACAATGAGCTGCCTCCAAATCAAAGAAAAATTAAGTCAAACTTTTCTCATAAGGATTTCTACATTATACGAGCAGCTTCCATGTCTTTGACTCCCTCCTTGCAAACCAGAATTGAGTTGCACATAAATATGAACTTGATTTGAAGGCTGACTTGGCAAAGAAGACACAAGTGTATTTAAAAGCAGAAATGAAACGATCTTGGGATTCTGTTACTGAGTGATTGTGACTTTGACCAAAACATGTCAGCTTTCTGAGTCTCGGATTTTTCTTGTTGAAAACTGTTCAGACAGCTATTTCATTATGACTTTTCAGATATGAATAAAAGACACACACAGACTAAAGGGGATAGGACTAAAAGTTACCCTGCAACAAGTTCTTAATAAGATCTATGTCCTCAAATGTCACATTTGTCTTTCCCAGAAAATGCTCCTTCTTTCCTTATCCCTGCCAAAAACTGAAGTGTTTCACTTACTATCTATTAGAGAAATATATTTTGAAATTTTCCATTCTCATGAGTAGCTCTAGTGTGCCAGTAATGGATAATTTAATTTAAAAAAAAAAAACTTGACTTTTCAAAGTGAAACCAAAGGAGACAAGTGGCGTTTACAAATTAGAAGTTGCAAAATTGGTCATATTCTTGCCACCAAAGAAATGGTATACCTGTCTTAGAATTTTACCTGCTCACACACACACAAAAAGTTGCCCCTTGTAATTAAAGCATTGTCATTAAACTTCATGGAATCCCCCTTGGGAACTGAGGTGGTTGTGTAAAAATGGAATGGATGTGAAATTCATGGCACCTGTGCCAGGCATATAGTTCTCTATCATCTGCAACCAATTTAGATCGGCCCCTTTACTATGATCTAAATCTAGCACGGTGGTGAAATTCCCAAGTGCTTTCTACTTTTATACATAGTCATTTGCCAATGCTCCCCTCTCCAAGGGGCTGCACAGCATGAAATCCCCACATGCAGAGCTAAACTTAGCAGCCAGGCTGACTGCCACACCTGTTACAACTGTGTACTGTCAGAGATAGCAGCTGCATTCTGCACCATTCAGAAGAAATTAGCAGGTAGCCTCAGACTTGGATAGGACTTTGGGCTTTATATTTTCCAAAATGCAAAGTCACTCTTATAGAAATACATATTGGTGGTTTAAGTTGTGTCTATATTCAATAATTAGACTCCACGGACTTTTTTTTTTTAATGTTTTACTCTTAACCATACATGGGCTTCCCCAAGGAGGGCAATATACCCAAGAACTTAAGGACGCAGGTATCCTGTCATTGCAGGTTCTCCTTTTTGTGCCCACAGTATTTGAATGCACTTTACCACAGAGAAGTCAGTGGCTGGATAAATATTGGATCTGGCTATACTTTCAACAGCAGTGAACAGCAAGCTCCTCAATACTTGGTTGCTGAAGCTAATGGAGACACAGCCTTCCCGTTACCTAACCACCCCAACCCAAATTGCATAATATTAAAACTGCTTTGGAAGTACTACCTTGGGTGATGATTCCTAATTTATGATCAGGTTGCTCACCAGGAAAACAAACACCCTCTTTCATCACAACAACTCCTGTGGGATCCACGTCTTAACTGAGCGTGAACCAAGGCACACAGCAGAGATTACACCAAAATAGCAACATAATCCACCACAGTTTCCAGTGATATAAGATAAATGGAAATGCATTTAAGCAGATGTGTCATTATGGTAACTCACATGGTATTTAATGTTTAAGAAAATAAACTCAATGTTTTCATGACAGCGAAGGGAAAAAGTCTCCATTTCTATTAAGTATGCATATCCTTGAATGTATTAATTAGCATATTACTGCTTTAAAAGTCAGCTGTAATAACCAATGGGCATAATTCGAATTTATTTTTCTGTGCAAAATACAGACTTGACAATTCCCTGTCCCACCCCATTCTTCCTCAAATTGCATGTGAGCTAGATATGAACAGGTAGATCATTTACATGTATGTATACTCTATTTTAACAAAATTTTTCATTTTTTATTGGATCATATGTATATAAAAATGCTTATATATCAACAATTTCCTGCAATGTAATTTAATACAAAGACCACATGAATTTTCCAAAATAGTATACATTAATATGGGCACTACTAAAGATATACAATTGTATGTATTTCAGAATCATTAGTTATATGAAACAAGTGGTATTGCAAAGGGTTATGCATCATATTTTGGACAACAAATGTCAATGTTAAACAAGTAAAGATGGATTTATCCAGTCTAACCTATCTATCCACACCAAATTAAAAATTTTGGACTTCAATACCTAATTTTGAATGTGTAGATCCCTCCATACTTGCTAAGTAGGTATAAGTGGTCCATTTAATACATTTAAATGGTTTTATATTAAGTAATACATTCTATTCACCTGCATTTGTACAAAATAACTTTGTTTTTTACAAAAATGAATAATTGTGTGTGAAAATTGGGAATTCTTTGGTTTTAACTCATTTATATTTGAATTAGATTCATATTGTGTTCAAATGGAATCATATTTATATTAATATTCAGCATGTCACGTTGATCCCTGGATAATAAACGCTGACTCTTTTGTTGCTGTTAACAAATGTTTGTTGTCTAAAGATGTAAATTGCATTGCATTAGCTTCTTCATTGCAATATAAATTGTAATAACTGCTACAAATTTGTGGTACTTATCATTTGGAAGTCTCGTTATTATTCTGTATTTACTAACCTTTCAGCTTTCATTCTTTCCCAACTTGCAAACTGATGGTCAAACTTGTTTATTTAGCCCTAAAATGAAAAAAAAAATCAAATAACATTCAACTACCAGTTAGAATAAATGTGAAGGATGAGTGAGATCAGGCATCTGAAATGACAATATAATCTCTCTCTCTCTCTCTCTCTCTCTCTCTCTCTCTCTCTCTCTCTCTCTCTC